ACCAGGCCGGGCGAGGCGAGACGCGGAGGGATGCTTCTCGATGTGTGCGTGCGTGCATGTGCATGTACCCGCCGCCACTGCTGCTGCTGCTGCTGCTGCTGCCGCTGGTCTCTACTTGTACCCGTCGTGTGTACGTGTTTTCCGCGCGCGCCAGTACACGAGAAGCGAGAGAGGACGAGGAAGAGCGAGCGAGGAGGAAGGGAAATCGCGACACTAGCGACCGCGGGCCGACTCGCTCTCGCTTCTGCTCCGACCCGCTCTTTTACCCGCAAAAGCTAGCCGCTGTGCTCCGTGCCGGTGTAAGGGGAAAAAACTGTGTACACATGTGTACGCGAAATACGCACCGATACCCGAGCGAGGCGTGCATCTTTCACCCCCTTGCCATGTAGGCTACCCGTCCCTGTCGCTCGTTTCGCCTGTCTTCCTTTCGCTCGATGGCTCCGTCTCTCTTCCCTTCGCCGGTTCGAGAGTCTCTGTCTTTCGCCTGATGGCTCCGTCTCTGTCCCCCTTTGGCAGGTTTCTTCTCACTCCGCCTTGGATCCGCGTGCGTGTGCACGGGTAGGATGGCTTGCTTGTGTATGAGCTTGGCTCCGTGTGCGAGCTCGTCGGAGCGAGGGAAACGGAGGCTCGCTCGAGGGGGTGAGAGAGAGAGGGAGAGATTTAGAGGGCAGGGTTGAGCAGGAGGGCGGGGCGAGGGGAGCGCGCGCGGCACGAGAGAAGGAAGGAGCGGAGGAGTGAGACAGAGGAGTGGGAGATTATCAAAATGGCCGCGCGCGCAACCTACTCTCCACCCCCTACTCCGCCGCCTATTCCTACGATACTATTCCTCCTCCTCCGCCGCCGACCTCCTCCATCCTCATCCTCATCCTCCTCCTCTTCCTCCTCGTCGCTCCTCGGTCGACCGACACGCCGCCTCGCGCGGAAACCGCCAGGCGCATTGCCGCGCGCGCGGCATCATAATAGCAATGGACTACCGTGACGCGGGCTACGCGGACCACTCGACGGTTCCTTTTGACGGCAGCAAGCTTTTCGCGGCTGGTGGGGACGATAGTTGTTGAACTTGTTCGTGGGAGGTTAGAGGTTGCTTGTCGGTTCGATGCGTTCGGGGTCGATGAGTCGGAAGATCGGGGATTCCGGCTGGAGTTCGCTGCTGCGGCTTTTTGTCGAGTTTCTTGTTGTAGGTCGCTGCTCGGATTTCATCCCGTGGAACTACCCCTTTGCGGGGTTGTTCGGTATCCGTGGCTTTTGGAATGATTAGGTGGGAGGAGTATGTGATAACTGCGCGAGTAGAGCTACCCCTAATAGACAGTCGTGATGCAGGGGGGTTCTAAGCAGTTGGGAAGAACTGTAGTTCATTGCGTACTCCAGTTTGATCTGAGTTAGCTATTAAATGACGAACTGGAAGATTGAATAAATGCCTCATACGTTGCACCCCTGTCTGAGAAAAGTTTCAGAAAAATTAACCCTCTATAGGCTCGCGTGACTGAAGTCTACCTATGTATCAGCATCTCGCTGATTTATTGCATTTTGCATAGCAGAGTGACAAATTACTGTAAATAACCATCGCCTTTTTAGGTACACCTCAGCAAATCAATCAATTAACTTGAACATTGAATTTCAAAATTACGAGGTAAACTCATTAAAACTACTGAATGCATTGTTAATCTATATTCACAGGTCAATACTTGCTCATTGCTCCATAGCCACGAAAAAGAATTCAGCCCGCACAGGGTTAATACAATCGCCGTCACTGGCATTCCGGGAAAAATAAACGCTGTCGCGAGCAGCATTACATTAAAATAATACCCGTTATTACCCGCCGATACAACCGGCCGTTATTCATTAAAACTCGCCCCTCGATTTCGCAGCGTCCTCCGCCAACGGCGTGCCGACGCGCTCCGCTCAACGGATTTCCCCGGACGCGTTTTTTGCCCGCGGAGCGCGCCGCACGCGCGCGTCCCCGTAAACGAACAAATAAACAAACAAATAAACGTTTTAAAGTTACGTTTAATCGGGACGACGTCCCGCATACACGCCGGGCGCATATTGCGTTTAAATTGCTTTGACGTTCGGAACGCGCGCACTCCCGCGTTTAACTAATTTCCAGACAAAGGCCCGGTTACATCGGTTTCCGGGCGGGGAGCGAGCGAGAGGGAGCGAGAGAGAGGGAGAGAGGGAGGGTAGCTCGGTTGGCCAGTTTTCGGCAGAAAATTGGCATATTAATTTCCGATATGTTCCGCGACACAAAAGCCGCCGCGCGCGGGAAGCCCCGGGAGCATACTTTTATGGGGATTTTCGTCGATCGTGGCTTGAACCAGCCCTTCTAAAACATCCCCCGCCCCTAGCCGCCGGCTCTCGATCCTTCTCCCGCGAGGACACGCGCCGCCACGGTTTAAAATAATATTCCCGGACCAGGGGATTACCAGTTTAATTTAATCCGCCGCGATGACCGCTCCTTCCACAATGTAAACGGCCCGATAATCGCGGGGTAATTAACGAAAGAAGCTCCTGGGGTGTTTGGATTATCGCCAGAGATCAGCGGACACGTTACGGGTCCTCGTCGCTTTAACCCTTTGCAGTTGATCCGGCGCAGACGGAATTACAAGATTTGATGTACAATGTGGAATTTTGGTGTAGTGTAATTACTTATTGCTGAAGCGTTGATTAACACTTTGCCACGGTGGCCACCGGTGACCGGAGCTTTCAAATTACAAGAAAACTATGACTTGGAAGGTAATTGATTTCGAATACAAGTTTTCCGTAAATAACTAGATAATAGAATAATAATAATAATAATAGATATAAGAATTTTCATATCAAAGAATAATCCTTGCTTTGTACGTTCGCTATAGAGGATAAGAGACACACACTGATGTTTTTCGTGGCAGTCAACGTGTTAATAATAATAATGTCCAGACATTAACACTAGAACTACCGAGCATTTAATACGATTAATATACAATTCCTATAAAGATTGTAACAATAGAATATTTTCAATTTCTTCAGGTATTCATTACAGTACTCAAATGAAACTATGTTCAAAATCATTTCGAATATTCAATGCTTCGAAAATATCAATAATTGCTAAAGTCCTAGTTAAGATGAGTCATCCCTTGATTCGTATATTTCCTAACAGTTCAAAATGTAAGCAATGTTTCGTTAAGATATTAATGTATGAAATCTTTCGTGTTCCAAGAGTTAATAATTTCTAGTAGCTACCGTTTTCAAGTGTTTGGTACGTCGTTAGATAATGTAGGACACGTGGAAAACGATCAAACGTGACACTGAGTGCCAGCTCTTTCAGTTCCTGAAACTTCAACTGGGAAGAAGTTGAATCTCAAAGGCGCCGATTATGGGACGGTGATGACGGTAGCGCAGTTAGCGTCAAGAGTCAAGGGCCGACGGTTTTGTGCAGCTTTGGAGGACCAGGAAAATGAAACCCTGGGTTCGCTGCAGGGGGCGGACGCCCTAGGTAGTCCTGCAGCGTATAATAAGGAACGTTGCCTCGGAATTTTCGAAATTATCATTTTCTGAGTACTTCACACTGCTTCGAATTTGTCACGGTGTTCTTTGCAGAAACTTCCAGTGATTCTACGATCCCTTCGATCTTTACTATGTACAGCCTGAGCAATGTTCGCTTAACACTAGGTTTACGGAGCGCGTCAATTTGACGCACATTGAATTTTGTAAACATTTGGTAAATGTTTCGGTCGGCTTTAATTGATCCGATTACACGAATATATATACTGATTGTCTATTTTTAAATTTATAATTTTCAAAATTTAAATAGGCGAATGTCAACTGTTCTAGGAACAATCTAGAAACAAACCTAGCGTTAAAATTGAAATGAAACGAGACGATGACAGCGAAGATGACGAAATCGATGCTTCGTCGCAAGCCAACCAGCAATGTCCACAGATATTTGAAATGGTCACAGTCAATGGAATACTCTCCCCCGTTAAAATGAATTTCATCGAGAAAGATACAGGACGAACGTTGGTTCTATGCTCTAAGAATAAAAGTGTGGCCCCGTGACGAAACAAACGTCACAGCCTGCAAACGCATCGACGACTGGCATCTGTCGGCTAAGAATAACCACTTAATCGCAACATCTGTTGATACACGCAGGTACGAGTGATTAATCACGCGACTTTCCGCTGCGTTCCACCGTCTAGCGCCTTCTTTCTTCTAGCTGTGGCGCGTAAACCTTGCAGTCGTATATATTAACCTGTCTACTTAATAAGTTAACTCGTTATGTACTAATACAAGAGAGTACTGAACTGATATAGCCTCGTTTCTCAGTTCCTATACCACTGTGTAGAAGCTAAACGTGTCATGGATTTTACTAGAAAATCCTAGCAACAAAGAACTAATAAATATTTCATTCGAAAATCAGAAATAGTATTCAATAGAAACTTAGAAATATTTTCGATAGAACTTTCGAAGTCAAAGAGTCAACCTTTTGCAGTCGAGAAGTGATTCTCAATCACCACTTGATGCAAGGTATGAAAATTATAAGGTTATTAATATTATAAAGTTAGAAACAGTGAGATAGCTTTGTTCTCATTAGTTATTTCCAAAGAATATCGTCTGTTCCATTGGAAACGTTGAATATTCCTAGATATTCAAAGACTTTCGAGCGCAAAGGATTAACCTCCTCTCAGTCGCCACTCGAATTGGCACAGAACAATCATCGAGTATAATATTTAATGTCAACTTTCGTGTGATGTTCACTGATATGTGAAATATTAAAATAAAACAGCCTCTTCAATTTATACATGACTTTTCGTGAAGCCAGTTTCAAGAAATGTTAATGTAACATTTTCGATACGTATAACACAAATCCAAAGTAAAATTTACAAAATCAAATTCCTTACTCCCTTCCGTAAGCTAGAAATTTTGGTTCAATCGATGC